AAATACTTCAAAGTTTCCAGATGGATACGTTGAGCAAAACCACCTGGCTGAGTCAGGTTAAAAAAAATGAACCTTGATGATCAAATGTCCAGCTAAGCTACAGATTCCTTGTGTAAGGAAGAAATATTAGTCTATTATTTTTTAGAAATAATAGACTAATAGACATTCTGGGTCAACAAAAAGTTTTTTAGTTTGATTTAAAAAAAAAATCTGAAACTTGCTAAAGAATAAAAGGTTAGGAAAAAGAATAAATTGGACTACAAAATGTAGTTTTTCTTTTTATATATGGCTGCATATGTCTGAAAGATTTTTAGCCTTTCAATAAAACTTCTAACAATAAGTTTCTCGTTTCAGGTGGTGAATCTGATCTGTGACCTGGACACAGACTTCACCATACTGGGGAAAAACTACATTAATGTCATCCAGGTGTCTGCCCACCTGTTGGCCATGAGCTCAGCCTGCTACAACCCCTTCATCTATGCTTCGCTGCACAATAAATTTCTGTCCTACATCTGTATCAAACCTCTGACTCGGAGGGGAAAAGAAAAGTACGGAGGTCGGGGGTCGAGCGTCCTGACGAATTCTCACAGATTGCCACGTCTCAACACCTTTACAACTGTGGCTGATTTACCTGCTGTTGTTCTGAATGACCTTGTTGAAAAAGAAATATACTTCTGACGCGCTTTGTTTTGCCTAACAAAAGGAGAAAGGATTTTCAAAGCATGTCCACAAACAGCCCTAAAAGTAGATGGGATGCAGGAAGCTTCTTTTTCTCCGCAGCTTTGATTTTAATCTTGCCTTTATTGCAACAAATGATGAAATTAATAGATTTACACCACAGTATAAATAGTAAAAATCTCCTCAAATATAGGGAAAAGCAACCTGCTGTTTCTACAAACTACTTATAGAGATAGAAAGAATAAGTATAAGAAATTCACCAGTTTTTAATCATACAAGTTAATTACTCCACTAATGTTATTACTTAACAGAAATGTTAATGTTTTGCTGTTAATTTATGCTGTTTAACTTTCACTTTAAAATAGCTTTCAGCTTTTAGTTGACATTCACTCTTTGTGCACATTCAAATGCGTTCTGTGAAAAAGTAGGTCAAAAACATTAAACGAATTTTAATAGAAAGAGACTTTTTTTAAATTAATTTAACAGGGCGTAAAAAAATCTTAACGTTGTTAAACAATTATTTTTTTTATTATTTCTCTTGCCTTGCTTAGGCCTAGTTTTGAAAACAAGAAATCAATTAAATAGAACCCGACTGACAGCATGAAGGAGGCTTAAGACCCTAAAAATAAGGTGTCTAAAGGAAGCAGATAAGCCCCCTTTCCAACATCTGAACAGAGAAAAGTGCAGTAGACCTAGTTGCAATACCATCGCACTTAAATAACATAACTATAACTTTTGTATTTATTATAAAGAGAGATTTCTAACATTTGTCCATGAAATTACACTGTGACCCCCCCGGTACTGTTTAATAAATGAGCTATATCTTGTCTTCAGTCAGGTTATTTTTGCTTGATATTGTGTTTGGTTTAAGTGTGACACTTATAAAGTTATGCAGCCATTTTTGCTTCATTTCATTCATCATCACAGATACTATCAACAGTGAGAATGCTATGTGTTAGAACTGTTGAAAAATGATTTGATGCTTTTCCATTTCAATGCGGACATTAAGAGAAATACATTTTTTTGTTCGCCCTGCTATAATTTAGCTCATACATTTAGGCAGCTTGACAGAAATTACAAGCCAAAATCAAGTTCATAATGTATAAGGCTAATACCTTAAAGAATAATCTACAATCCTACTTCTTTAGAACTTAAAATTTGCTTTTGTTTCATTAAACCCCAATCCAAAAAGTTATAACAATTATGACATAAAATACAGGAACTTCAAGGTTCAAGGCTGACATAATTAGATTAGATTTGACTTTATTGTCATTACACATATACAGGTACAAGGCAACGAAATGCAGTTTAGGTCTAACCAGAAGTGCAATAGCAGCAGGTGCAGGATAAATAATGGTTCCATAAATACAGGACATGGGTTTCTACTGAATAAGTATAGAGATGAATACCATTATAAACAGAATCTTATTAATAGATTTTTCCTATGAATATAATATATAGATAATTAGTATTATGAACTAAATTTACAGCTGAATATGTACTGAATATAATATACAGGTGAATATTACTATAAAAAGGCTTTTTACAGTAATGTAATCAATGTAATGTAATCAAATGAAGCATGTATATTTAATTAATTCAATTAATTATTCAATAACAATAAATTATTTATTTTTCAACTGCAAATATAAATAAAAACTGACTGCATGTATTATTAAAGCATTCAATTTATTGTTTTTTGTTTTGCAGAATGATATAGTTTACACTAAATGGCAAAAAAAAAAAGGCAGAATTACAGCGTTTCACCTTTTGCTTTTCAACCAAATGTGGATCTAAATCATGTCATCTTTGCAATGTCTTTTCAACCAATTTTTGCTCGGTGGGACAGAATGGGTCGACGATGCCTCTGCCTCTGACTGCTGCTCAATCCCTCATGGTTCCCCCTGCAGGCAGTGAGTCCAATGGGGGATGGCCTCACATCACTCCTTCAGGCTGGACCCGGCCCGGCCGAGTCCCATGAGAAAAAAAACCCCCAGCCAACAGGCACTGCCTGATGAACCCCAACCCCAGGCTTGGCTCCAGGGTGAGGTCCCATCGTACTGTGCGACATCATGTGCCTCGATTTTATAGGTCATAATAGGGGCTTTGTGAACCACTCTGTCTGACTTGTCAGGCAGGGCTTGTTTGCCTTGGGAGACCCTACCAGGGGCATTTAAGCCCCTGATAACAGAGCATCTGGGATCATCCAGCCACTGAAACCCCTCCACCACGTTAAGATATCCATCTAATGAAATTCATTAGGGCTGAAGTTTGTCCAGATTCAATAGTCCTGAGTTCTTTTTATAATCTGGATACTGATGTTACTGTTAACATCATAAAATATAAAGGGATAAGAGCTAGGAACAGGAGGTAGAAGCTTAAATTTGATGCATTAGGTATTAGCCAGATTGTGACAAAAAAAAAAGAAAAAGAAATTTAATAAGCCACCTAAAATTGGAAACACTGAAAAAAAATCTGAGAAATAAAGGTTGCAGCATCACTTACGTACATTCTTCTATACAATAAATGCAAATTCTAACTAAGGGAAAAACATCTTAATACTTGTGTTCATGAATGTTAAGCTGGGTTTTCTTGCAAGATTACTGCATCATTTACATCTGTATCAATAACAGTGCAGGAAAAGTGTATATTTATAAAGGGTTTCTTTTGTCCAAACTTCAGTGTTGAGTCCCAGCCTCAAACAATACATGAGATTCTCAACTCATTATTTTCTTACATGAAACAAACAGCCAAGCAGGCTTTTTAAGGAGCAAGCACAAGACTTCTGTTGCTCTGCTTCTGCAACCCTATTTGTTATTTGTGATCAAAAATGCTTGTCCTATTGCAGGTTTTTCATTTTTTTTTTGTTTTTAAAGACATGTCTTACATCATTAAACACACAAATCAAAGCAAAACTCTTTAAAAACTATGGTCAGTTTAATATAGGGAATTTACTGAAACTGACATTAACTCTACTGTATACAGAATATATATTCAGGCTGGGTATAATGAAGCGGTTTTCTCTAACAATGTATGAGGTGAAGTTTGCATGTTAACCCTAGGCATGTGAATGTCTGCCACACTCAGAAAACAAGGCAGTTAAGATTGTGGTCTTTATTCTGACTTGGAACAAGGGAAAAACAAAACAAGAGTGAACCTGAACTTAGGAAAAAAAACTTGACCTGGACTTTTAGCAAAGACTTTGGGCTTGACATAGCAATTGGTTTGTAGCTTGAAACAATCTTTTCTGTTACAAGAATAAGTGTATAACACCAGTAAAAAAGTGTGCATCTCACTGAGTAGTCTTTTCTCTCAGAAATCCCCTCTTTAAGTGGAACAACCTTTGTGGTTAAGTCTTTTTGTTTTTTCCATCCTCATTCCTCTTAACATGCGTGAAAGAACTCCAACATCCAGCATCAGACAAGCAAAAAAAAAAAAAGGTGCACTACAGAGGATTTAACCCTCTGTTCTACAGAAAAACAGAAGCATTAGTGCTGCAGCTCAATAACAACTGCTCCAAATTATGACAGGATGTTTGATTAACCACCTGCTGGGTTATAGATTTTAGAAATAATTGAGAGACGTGATGTTGCTTAGCTCTGTGGGCTTAGTGTGTACAATGCCTTAACAGCCAACAGCTCCCAGACACCTTTTTCTCTTCAGAATATGGTAATTCTTTCTATCCAGCGTTGCACTTTTTACACATTTATTCAAGAAGAAATAATTTCAAATTGTATTAAATCAAACTCCTCCCACAAAATTGTACACAAAACAATTGAAAAATACATTTTTCTCAAGAATTGTTCAAATTTATTACATAAAAAACACAGCCTTTGCCAAACAATGCTTACATAGTACACTCAAAGGTCACTCTAATATGTTTTGAATCTTGATTTAATGCAACTTTAGGTTTCAGGACTTTCAGTGTTTTGGAGTTTGTTTCAGATCAGTGAAGCATAAGAACTAAAAGTTGCTTCTCCATGTTTGGTTCTGGTTCTTTCTGTGCAGAGTAGACTTAAGAAGTCAGTTGACGTAGAGATCAGGGCATTTGACACTCTATTCCAACAAGTCTGCAATGTATATTGATAAAAAATATGCTTTACTCTTCTGTTATGTCCTAAGAGCTCCTTCCAAATCCTGTAAAAATGCAAATATTATTAATGTCATACCAGAAAACAATTTTTACTTAGCATCAAAATGCATCATCCACAGTGTAATCAAACATCACATGCATTCCACATATAGGACAAACAGACAGACATTGCCCAAATAAAATTTGTTTAACCCATCAATATAAATTTTTATTGATACTAAAATTGGAATTGACTCAATTTAAACAGGAAAATCCTAATTTCTTCACCACGTCTGGTGTCAATATCTGCATCAGTGCTTCTCAGTTAAATTTTAGGATCCTTGTTAAACTATATGTGCACAGTTTTAGAGAACAGATATGTTTTTGCTCCTTATAGACATCAAAATACCCTATTGCTTTTCAGTGCTGCTTGCAAGTCCATACTTTTTAGTTTCAGTTAACCATAACCTAATCAACCTAAACAGGCTCCCGGAGCCCTAATTCCATCAGTCAGTAAGTCATCCTGCTTGCTCCTGTTAGCTCATCATTATTTCACACAAATCATAAACACTAGCTAGTTGACAAATTGACAAAAAAAAGACAGACATGTTGTGCAACAAGGTAAAATTTTTTAAAATAATTTTTCTCTCGAAAAATACTTTATTTCTGCTTCAGCTGGATTCTCCTGCAGTATCTTCCTTCTCACTTATAAACGGAATGAGCCACTTTTTGGAGGGTTTTATAAATTCTTCCGTTGCATTTAAACAAAATGCAGTAATTATTTATTTATTTTTGTGAAAGAAAAGGTCCCAATTACCAAGCCTAATGTGCATCTTTCTCTTATTTCAGGAGCCCACTAGAATTGGAATTGTAATACACCTAGTGGTGCAACCTGGACACATCTTCAGTGACTCTCCCAAGATCACTGGGTGTTTCGGGTCTTAGTCATACAACCTCACTCGGGCGACACAGCCAGGCGTGATCAGTTCCCCGACTTGTGTCCAGGTAGCGCACTACGCCACGCCTCCCCCCTCCTCAACCAGAGCCACCGTGAAGCCTTTTCAGCTGCTTCCAAGAT